TCTGGGCCATACTCGACTGGCAAGACAAGAAACAACAACAAAAAAAAAACGACTTCGAAGAGCGATCTACTCCAAGTTTTGAAGCAAGAGGGGGCGAAAATCCCACAATCTAAAGTTGACGAGATGATTCTCACGATGCCCCAAAGGATCAACGAACTGCATGAAGCGAAAGGAAGAACTACTAGATATTAATTAAGTTATAAATATATCAATTCATGTGAATATGACTGAAAATTTTCATTTTTTCTGAAAAGGTGGTGTGTATTTACTTGTGACCACACTGTGTATATAAAGTTCCACCGAGCCCTGAGTGAATTGGGCTGACCACGAAACGTTTTGATGCAAGATTTCTGTTGTTCTCTCCCAAATTGATGGCCAGACCTACCTTGGGCTCCATTAGTGTTCTGGAACTGTTTATGGCAGCAATTACCCCTTTTTCTTGATTATCCTGGACCTGTTGAGCCATTAGTCGAAACTGATGGCCTTGCCTACTTTGTTGTTTATCAAGGTATATGTTTTGGTGGTTCTCTAGCACCTGGATAGCCACTGGTTGATATTAATAGGCATTTTTGCTGGTTGGCAAAGTATGGGCAGCTCATTCATCAGTGCCCAGATGCAAGCAAACTGGAAACTTTGCTCCTCCTGTTCCAGATGTTAAGGGGGAGGCATCATCAGTACAGGCTATGGAATATAAAGCATGGATATCCCTGCTCATTCACTGGAAACCAATGTAGTTGCATCACAGCACAAAGATGTGTAGGTGGCTGGTTAACATTCAGTCTGATATGAATTCAACATTATGGAGGTGCCCAAGTACGATGCTACATTTGAGATATAGCCACAATAGCTGTTGCTGCTGGCTTTGTTTTCTCTAATGACTGGCTTGAAGTTACCATTTCATAACTGTTCATGATAGAAACTGTCTTGGTTAAGGTAGTTCCTCGAGGTCTTACTAGGAAGCTTATCCAGGAATATATCTAGTCAATCTACTGAAACCATTAAAGGGTAAGCTTTACAAATGGCAGAGATCTTCCTCATAAACTTTACTTTTGGCTCAATAGATCATTTGATTGTTCACTGGGGAGAATTGGCAGTTCAACTTGTTCAATTGTTTGATAGATTCTAGAACTAGACCTTCTAAGCTCAAGATCAGGAATTGTACTGCTTGCTCCTACCTTCAGCCATTCTAAAACAATTACCTGTCTGTAAAGCTTCAGACAATGGTTCAGACCCTCCTTTGCTACTCCTTTGAACACTGGGAACAAAATCTGCTAGGCATCACACACAGGAACATGTGGAGTGCAGGTTAATGGCCATTGCCTGGCTGGGATGCTGCCAATGTCGAAAGGTGTGGAAAGTAGACATACTCAGCAACTTCAATGCTTTTATGATTAGTTGGTCCCTTATCGAGGGTGGAAGAGAGAGGAGTTGGTCTCAGAAGCTCATCCTGAGGCACTGGAAAATCCTAATCCTAGGTTTCCTCACGATCCATGGTTGTCCTGGTAAGATACACCTTGAAGAGGTTTGTGACTGCACAGAGTTCATGCACTTTTCTCATTGGTGCTGATGTATCATCTCCCAGGGAAGCATCTCTAATTGATGGAGGTTGTCCATCAGTGGCGTGTACAGCTTTTTTCAGATGGACCCAAGTTTTGTTTAACAGAACTGAAACTGTATTACTCTGGATGGTGATGACCTGGGAGTTCTGTGGAGAGTTATTCATATGGTTTCAGACTTGCCAGGTACCTTTTCATGTTGGTAACCCTCAGTCAGCTGTGCTTCATTTATATGAAGGTAATCCTCATGGACAATACCCAACCTACCATTCTGGGTACATTAGATGTCTTCTGAGTCAAAAGTTGCAGTATTGGCAAAAATCCCATGTCTAAAAGAGGATTTCTCCGAAACCTGACCTCTATGACATTCTACGATTAACCAATTTCCTCAAAGAGTGTTAGATAGGTTGTAACGGGAGGATTAGCAGAATAAAGTAAAAAGTAAGTCTGAACTTAATTAAATATCTGAGTTCAAGCAGGTAAATGAACAGACTAGATATGATGTGTTATACAAAATTAATGAACCCTTTATTCATATTCACGGATATACACAGTATGTGATACTAGCTATCTAGACACTGGACAATCTCTTTCTATGGGACTTGTGAACTGATCAACAGATTTTTTTTATCCCTCAAGATTTTTTCCTATTGGCCAATGTTATTTACTTAATGGGAATTATCACATTTACCCATAGTGACTAGAGTTACCCAAATGATTGGTCATTCTCATTTAAGATAGGGGAGATCGTAACCTCCAGATATCGTCTGTTATGTCAGTGAAGGACACTTCTGTCATTTATCTTCGTGCACAACATGCAGCATTACAGCAATATTCTTCAGTGGTGGAACAGGTATTATATCTAGAGAGCAACAGAGGAACAAAGGCAGCTAGAATAAACAATAAATTTTGAAAAATTTTACATCAATAGAAGAAAGTAGAAAATCGTGGTATGCCTGTATACTAGATAGATATTGTATTCTCATTAACCAGATGCTGAAGTGTTGTAAACATATGCTTATCTGTTTACTTAGTTAAAGGTTATGTAGGGCAATGGTGAGAAGCTTCTATCAGTTTGGCCCTGTGTCAACTCTCAGTGTATGTGTGTATGGAGGGGGCAATGCAACGGAGTGATCCAGATACTTGTACAAGTTTATATGAGTTGGAGATTTTTCCACTGTATATATATTATTTGAAATAGTATGTGGCATTTGCAGCTTTGAATTATGGTATACCACACTTGGTACCATTGTCTGATTTGTGTGGGATGGATGACATGATGAATTATGATCTTGTCCTGTGTGGGTGTTTGTTTAAGAATAGAAGCTAGTCAATGAAAACTCAATGAAAGCTGTAAGCTGTCCAATCTGCTGAATATACCAAACTTATCTCCTGAATACCCCAAATACACCCCAGGAGGACATGACAGATGAACATGGCTAAACAAATACAAGTCTATGTAACAGTTTGAATTTGTACTATTATTGTAAGCTATGTTTTAATTTTTATGTTCTGCAGGCGGAGCTCATAATTACGATAACATTAATATCTAGAAAGTTCATGATATACATTCGAGTAAGTATTGATTAATTCAATGCTTGAAAAGGTATTTAGCGTTAATAATGAACATTATTGTGACTAATCTGCTATTCAGTTACTCGCTGAGTTGTATGTTTGTTTATCTATGAAAGGTAGTTAAATTAAGTGTAAGTACCATTATTCTCGGAATTTATATTGAAATGTTGATTTTGAGCTTTGGCCTACACTAATTCGGAGTTTATGTTGAAAAGTTTATTTATTAAATTAGGCTACAGATGAACGCGCTGTAGCAAATGTTTGTAGCAAAATTACCACTGATCCACCTGGGACGTGTAAAACTTTTTTGAAGAGATAGATTAATTAATTTTCATTACATGGACTGGAATTGACATTATTTTTATTAAATAATTCAAAAGAACCCGCCTAACGATATAATACATTACAATACTGTTTTACCTTTATATAAGTAACAGGATTGGTGCAAATTTATGAACTTCCTAGTCTTTCTCAGTATGGCGTGGGTTGTTGCTGTGGCAGAGCTTGGAAATCTGAACTGGTGAAGCTGGTTCGAATTTGTACGATATCACATAATCTTCCCCACACTTGAAGCTGTGGATGTGTTAAAAGAGTGACAGCCAAATTAATTAGTTTTGATGGTGGGTAATGGGGAATTACAAACTTGCTGCATTCTCTCTGACAAGTACTTGAAGCTTAGGGACTGCGACCGATAGCTTTATTAGCTTTGCCATACATATAAAATAGCAACAAAATACTACATGCAGAACACCTTCATGAAAATTTTGAAAAAGTACCTTAATATACCCGATTAAATACATAGTCTATACTATAGTTATGAAAGGACAAAATTTAATGACATTTTATATCAGTAAAGATACGTTTCAACAGTTATAAGTATAGAATTATACATCTTGAACAACCGACAAAATTATAAGGACTTAGTACTATGTGATGATGCTAATATTGTAGAGACAATTTGAATGTGAGTATTGAGAAATATTGAACAACTGAAGCTTTTGTTGGATTAGCTATAGAGGTTAGAGATAATCATGTACAGGGTTTTCTTTATATACATTGTGAAATAAGAAAAAGAATAGTACTGCCAAAAGTTCATTTCGATATAATTTGGGGTATTCTGTTAATTGTTATTTTTATTATTATAGAAAATATACAAAAAGCTTAAAGATGACTAGAAATAAATTACAAATTTTAGATTATTTGTATAAGTTACGTGAAAATAGCGCCAACCGACGGAGAAGAAAGGCAAAATTTCAAATGTTGTTATCGCTAGGCCTAGATAAATACGGTAAGAAATATTGTGCATTATTTTTGTTTCAGACGTATATCTAGATTAAAGATTAAACTTCATTTCAGAGAAACATTGTTGTGCTATAAAAATGTTTCTTTAGAAATAGGAAAATGTAATTAAATGGGTAGTAGATAGTGTCAGTAAAGGAGTTGTATTCCAAATAAAATTGTAAGTTGAAGAGCTAAGCGAGTTCGCGTATCCACAATTTGTTGACAATGGCGAACCGTACCACCACTGCAGTAATTCTTTCTATGTGAGATTAATTACTGCTGACTGTTCGTTTACTATCCAAGTAATCAAAATATTACTATTACAATTTCTCATTATTTTCGATTACTTC